CTCCTAAATCTCTTCTCGATTTTTCTCCAGAGACGATAGAGCGCAGCATCCAAAGAACGCAGCAATTGCAGTCTATAAGCTGAACCGTACACTGCCACAGAAAACGTCTCATCAGAGAGCTAGTGTCCCCTCCCAGGCGAGATTGGACGCCATCAGACCATCTCACAGATCTCTCGTGCATCAATCCTACCATGTAATGATATCGATGTTATGGATGTATCAAGTTACAAGTAAAACAGAACATCGCTGACCTACATTACGAACATATGGAAAATGGAACTGCAACCTCAGATGACTGGAAGGACAGAGTTCAGTGTCAACAAACAATTAAAGTGTAGTGCCGGACCAAGTGATTTTCAGTGTGGTTCTCTTGGAAACTCTCACATACGCGAAGAAAATAGACTTATCTAATGGACAGTTATCACAAGTTCTTTTCATTTGTACATTTCCTCTTTTAACTAACGATTTTTTTTTTATGAAATGTTTCTATTTATCATTGATGTAGGTATGATTTTTACACAATTTTATGTTTTTCATTTCATTCGATTACTTAGGTAATTCATTTGATTGACACATTATTCGATTTGATTATTGTTTTGTATCATGTATATAGGTAGTTATAGACATTTGAAGCTGTGGGGCCAGCTTCGTCAAACAGGGGAGATGTGTCAAGAAGTACAAATGTCTATGAAATAACTTTCGTTCGTTTCAAGATCTTCTATCATTAATTAACTTTTCCAAATTAAAACATTCAGTACATTGCAGTTCGATCAGGCCAGCGGAGTTCATAGACATCATTTCCTTTATAATTTGCAAAGAAATCGCTTACCGCGACGATAATACCTAGGTAAGCGGTATCGAAAAGCTATCGACCGTTCCCCGTGTGGAAAATAGCGAACCTAGCATCGATTCCGAATATAAATAGATTCCGAATCGATAAGCCATTCATTACTATTCATTTACTGATTTTTGATTATTATTGATCACTCATTCCTGATTACATTACTATTTGATTATTACTAAGTAAAATGCATTTCGATAACACTTTACTTTATACCGTAATTGAGTTACTAATTCACGAGTTGCTGCCAAAAAGTGTACCGTCCTCCCGACTCTGATCCTGCTGGTCAACCCCATGTTAGATGTCATAATGTAAGTACTGTTTTTTCCCCAATGTTGTTTTGCGTTGATCTTTTTTTCCTTTTTGTTAACCTGCCATGGGGCAGCATCTATTCATAAAACTTTTCATTCAATTAATAAATGTTACTTTTCTATGAAAACTGTCCGGTCTCTTTATTTGGGGGTGAATAGGGTTGGATGGTGAAATGATCAAAATCCTCTCATTAAGCCAAGCGAGTAGCCAAGTTGCGATCCATAGGAGGGCAACATCTGAGTTGCGACATGTGGTGGACACGCCGTTTGCCAAATAATCTACCAAAACCATCTGAGTTGCGACAATATTTCAAAATAATCCGAATTTTAATAAATCAATTAGATTATTTCACAACTATCACATGGTCTATTTTGACCAAGCATTTTATCATTATTATGATGCAATTCAGCATTTCCCCTCCACAGCCGCCGCTTTCGTGGCTTCGGTAATCGATCGCGGGTTCCCGTCTTCGGCTCTAAGCGTTCGCGCACGCGCATTCAGTTTTCTTCTCCTTGGTGAAAGGCTTCGCAGTTTTCGCTTTCCGACTGTTGTCTCAAGCCAAGCAGAGCAAAAGACATCTAATATCTTATAATAGTGATAAAATATAATTATTTCACTCAAGTCAAACACATTTTCGAGTGTTTACTATTTAATCGTACCGGTAGACCTCTTAGGTGATTTAGGCCATGTGAAGTAACAGCAAAACTTGCAACCAAACAAACAACACAAACGACTCCATTTTCTTATTATCCCCTGGTGTGGCTGGACTTTGAAATGTATTCAACGGCTCCATGGACAAGGCCGAGGTACGTATAAATATAGAAAAACCATAATTTCAGATGAAATATCAAATACTTATTATTAGATATCATGATGGGTATATTCATAATGATACTTTTTGTTCTAGGATGGAGTGTGAAAATTTCATCATGACTTAGAAGCTGCACAAGAATAGTGCTTTCAATTGCGATGTAACCGAAGAAAAATATTGAAGCACTCAACATGTGAATAACGATGTTAAATTACTTGATATATATGTACAAACCTAATACGTCGTGATTATGTGAAATATCTGATGATACTTTTTCAACTGCTTTCTTCATATATCATTATATAAGCAATATAATCCATTTTTTTATGTCTATTATCTTTTATTTCACCAGGAATATGAATATATTCCAGCGATATTGGTAGGTATTTTTCATTATGAAACATTCAATGGGAATGTTTCATAAACAGTAATATTGTTGAATGAAAAACATTCATGAAATGTTTCATGAAACATTCCCGAAAGTTCTACAATGAATGTTCCCAGGATGTTTCTATATATATGTATTTGAAACATCATTTATGAAACATGTCTGGTGGCGAAAATTTATCGTTTCAAAAATATTCATGGAATGTACCAAGAAACATACCTGAAGATCTAATCATATTGGGAATGTTTCCAGAATGTTTCAAGCATTTGTATTCGAAACATCATTTATGAAACAGTTTTGAGGGCAAATATCTTTGGTTTCACGAATATTTCTGAAACATTTCATGTAATATAACGAAAGAGATATTTATGAAATATTGCATGGAACATTCCTACAGGATATGATCATGGTAGAAATGTTTCCAAAATGTTTCAATTTGCGTATTCGACATATTATTTAGGAACATTACCATGAAACATTCCTGAGGGCGGACATCTCTATATTTCTGGAATGTTTCTGGAACATGTAGGCAACTCTGAATGCAATGTTTCATGCATCAATACTACGTTTCTGAAACATTTCGAAAACAAAAAAATGTTTACTGGGTTGGACGTCGCATTTGTTAAAATAAAGACGTCTTTTGGCCGAATGTGATGCCGTCAATTAGACGTCATATAGTCGTCATGTGCTACCTGGGGAACGATCATCAACCGTATGAGATAGGTTCTTGAGCTTGAAGTGTGTTTTGTACAGGCTTTGATTCTGTTGTGTATTCCGTTCAGTGTTGTTATATGGTCTGCACGAAATTTTCCTCTGCAATGGCTGAAAATTCCTACTTCTCTATCAAAAATACCTCCCATTATTGAGCAGCAAAAATTAAAATATTAATGTTTATTTTTAGATTCTGTTTCCACTATTGCTCTAGATTTTTTGATCATGCAGTAATATTTTGGGATGAATCCATGTATCTTGGACACAATTTATGGAGAATGCAATGGAATATACTCAAATTGCAATTATTTTAGGCATGTATCCAATCTGGATCAGTAGCGGTAGAAGGTCAGGGAGCTTTCAACCTCGCTTTCAAGGGTTGATAACTCAGAAGAAGTTTGAGTACAATAATGGCTTCAAACTGGACGGGTCATCTATATCTCAGAGGCGTACTATGGAAAAGTATAATGGGGATTGAGTAGCCTCTACCCCCCCAAAACGTATCACCCTGTTGATTTTGAAAATCTACGAGATACCTTGAATGATGATCTCCTAGGAAGTATCCACCACACCCAATTTCATATTGATACCTTCAAAAGTGAGCGAGATATTTCAATTAAATGAAAAAATAATTGAACTTTGACCCCCTGTAGCTACGCTACTGATCGAGATCGGACCCATGTATATGGAAACTTTGTTGATTGAAATAATGCTATCTATTCACCATTTCACTTTGTACCTCTGAACCTGAATCACCTTGTATATATAAAATTGAATATATAGTTGCTCAATCCCCTATGAGGTGACATTGATAGATAAATCTTTTTCACCCTATATAATTCAGCATTCACAAATATTGGTTATGATTTCTGAATAAGTCGCGTTCACGATGACCGACCCTGGAGGTAGAATATTGACACATAACCTCACTTTTTTTATTTGTTTACAGAGTAATCAAAGGATTGAAGTAGTTTTTCACAATATTTTGGCATAAGAATCGTGTTATTTGCGCTATTTATTAATTCAAGCATGCCTTCTCATTGTGCTGTTGTACAATGCACAAAAAATGCAGCGAGAGACGAATGAATATAATTTTTCAGGTAAATAGTGATCTCACATAGTGTTCATCATGGAATTTCGTCATTTCTTATTGAAATTCCTTCTACCACTTCTGCAATAGATGCTAATACTGCAGAAAGATTGAAAATGTCTACAACACAAACGGTCATATTTCGTCAGCATGTCAGACCAGTCCTCCTGTTTGATTGCATGAATCCAATCTTCTCGCATTATTTTAGAAATTTCACGAGTATTTCTATCAGTTCCTATTGCAGACGGAATTCCGATGAGGAATCAGAGAAATTACCAAATATCAAAAATGAAAACTTTATTATGTGAGTGACTATAACTTAGGTACTTACTTTCAAATCATAATGTACCAACCAGATTCCTTCATCTTCCGCTGCATTTTTGGTGCATTATACAACAGCACAATATGATGGCATGCGCGATTTAATGGATTGCCAAAAAACACGATTCCTATGCCAAATTGTGAGAAACTATTTCAATCACTAGTGAAAAAATTAGAGAAGTGAGGTTGTGTTTCAATGTGTCACCTCCAGGGTTGGTCAACTGACAGTTCTTGCACGCAACCCATTGAAAATGGAGATGAGAATATCAAACAAAATATTTCATTACATGAACTGTAGTGAAATGAAAAAAACGCAGACGCATTTCTGATGCTGATACAGCTCCACTTATATTAACAACAATTTTGAAAGAACCCTTCATAGCTCATCGAACTAACTGACCATTCAGGATCAATTATGTTATATCACCTCCTATTCCCTGTACTCAATCACCTCAAACATCACCAATTCCGTTTTCTCCTATGATGCAGTACTATATTGTCTCAACGAAGTTATTTATTGTTACAGGCAACTAGCAGACCATTCTACTATCACTCGACCCGCCGACAACACTGACAGCGTCCCTGCTATCGGTATGAGCTGGCAACAGGACCTGACCCCTCTTGATCACGATTCCTCTGGCAGGCCTCTCTATTTCTCCGATGCAGACATGGGTGACTCCTCCCTGGAGGAAGGAATGACCACCAACCTTACTCTGGAACAGTGCAGAGAACAGTACAAGGGTCGGACAGAGTTTCTCGCGAGTACTCATCATCAAGACGGCTTCTGTAAGGCGACCTTTGATCAGGTTATCTGCTGGCCTCCAACGCCGCTGAACGAGACTGTGGTGGTGAAGTGCTTTTCCGAACTGTTCCATGTCAAGTACGATGATACACGTGAGTTTCGCTTTCTTATTTGCTTCACAACATTGTCAGATTTGGTTAGGATCAATTCTAGCACCAACACTATTTCTACTCCATATCAACGATTTGCTGGAAGCAACCTCATGTCCAGTACACAGCTTCGCGGATAATAGTACCATCCATACCGCCTTCTCTTCCAGAGCTCCAATACCAGCTAGGCAAATCAGAAACGAACGAAAGAGAAATGTTGACAACCTAAATATGGACTAGCAAAATTTCTCGAATGGGGATCCAATAACTTGGTATAGATTTCAATGCAAACAAAATACAAGCATGCCTTTTCTCTAGAAAAGCCGATCTCACTGTGCCTAACATAAGCTTATCAGGAGGGAGTAACCATACCTTTGAAGACATCCATTTCGATGCTTGGTATTACTATCAGCAATAACCTTCCTTGGGAAAATCACGTGAGATCAATTGCTAAAAGTGCATCCCAAAAACTTGGTTTTCTGTTTTGGGCCAGGAGCTTTTTCACTTCCAGTCACCTGCTTATGATCTATAGGGCACAGATCCGATTTGTCCTGGAATACTGTTTCCATATTTGGAGTGCAGCACCCAAACATACCCTGAAACTGTTGGATTCTGTCCAAAAAAGGGCAATTCGTCTCGTGGGTGATGCCTTTCTCACAAACTCACTCATTTCTCTGGAACACCGTAGGAAAGTTGGCAATCTTGCTCTATTTTATAGATATTTCCATGGACGATGCTCCTCTGAAATATCAACAATTGTTCCTTCCTTTGCGATCCCCGCGAGATTGACCTGTCGAGTTGGGGCTTCCCACTCCTTCATGGTCACTTTGGAGACCTGCAGAACATCTCTTTCCAAAGACTCGTTCATCCATCGAACAGCGAGGCTCTGGAACGCATTGCCAAGGAAGGTGTTTCCCAAGGCATAGAACCTCAAGAAATTCAAGAAGAACACCAATTTCTACTTTATTTCTCTTGGTTCTCACGATGTTCTCTGAACATTACAGGATATCCCTTTTCGTAGGAACCGGAACACAAAAAAAAGGAGGTCTCTCCACTGCGACACACGCTAACAATATGCCCTTATAATCCAATTCGTCATCCAAGTCAGCAGTCTCCAGCAAAGGCCATTCTGGAAATGAGCAACAGTTCGTGGTTTTTAGGACGACAGTAGCCTACATATCAAGATTTGCGCAATTGCTTTTCCTCATCAAGATATATATCTATTAGCTGTTATACAAAACTGTATAACCTCCAAAAGATTTCTGATTTGAGGAGGCGCCAGCATGGAGGGCTATCCAACGAGATATGAAAATTAACGAATGCAATTTGTATAAGATAACACACTTGAATGCAAAATTGTCTGGTCATATTTATGCACGAATGTAATTCATTGAAATGTTTCACGAAGTAAGGAATTCCATCTCTTGAATTTGGTATTTTTTGGTTCACTTTCATTTATACTTTCCTAGCTAGATTGTATGGAGCACTCACATTTTTATCACTTTTTGAAGTTATCTGACTATGGTTTGTCTTGTTTAATGGCTTCTAGCGACATATGGCTTTATAAACGTGTTGTTATGGCGACGGGCTCCCTTCGCAGTGCAATCTTCGCTGTTCAGTGCAATTACCGATATATGAGGGAAATATTCACTGAAATCAAGTCGTCCATCAGTTCAAAAAAATCATGTAAATTTGAAATAAAACTTATATGAGATTAAAATGACGCTCATGTAGGGGTAAAATGATCTGTTTTCGATTTCATAATTGAATGATTGACATTTCAGGAGTCCCAGCGATAGCGAGAGGTATTAACGCGTCTAAGCCCATTAAAACAAGTTACACCCGAAATACATTCATTTTATGCATGACCGGTATATTCAATTGTTCATTGTGAATACCTCTTGCTGCAGTGAAGTTATCCTTAATGCAATCGACGTTACCATGGTAACTGAGTCAATTTTTTTTTAAATAGGAGTGAATGTCGTTACATATAACTTAATTTGGGTTCGATCCGAGGTTCGATCATATTTTTTGCATTTCGTTTACCACATTGAGTCATCTCCCTGACTTATGAACACTTGTTCCATCAGAAATGTAAGGACATATTATAGCCCTCAGCAGCTCGTGATCCCTTCTTACAGGATGATCATTTTTTGTTCGGAAAAGTATGGAGTGGTTGAAAGTTCTTCTAGAAGTTTCAGGGACATATTTGTTCATATACCTCCCAAGTAATGACGGCTAAATATCTAGACTGTCTGATGGGTTATCGCGTCAGACAGTCCAGATTGAGTCCAGATATTTAGCCGTATTGTCCCAAGTATAGGATTTGTTCAGGAACTACAGGAAGTAGATCTGCAACAGGGCGTTATAGTGTTTTCACGATAAATCGGTAATGTATTGAGAATTCTCTCAATTTGAAAATTTTGGATTCTCAAACTACCTCACTTCTCACGATAGTGGCAAAAGCTTGGATTCAAACAGTTATATCGGTGATAGATTGTATTGAGTATGCAGTATTCCCAAGATGAGGATGTTTTCGAATCCTTATCCTGGACATAGCTCTTTATATGCGAGTAGAATACTGTACTTTGTACACGACTACTATTGTTTTTGATATATTTATTCATTCTTAATTACTGTTTTATCATTATTCATTTGTCATTTGAAAGACTAAAAATTTAAGATACCTGTGATATCAATCATTTGTCCACGACTGTTGTACTTTCTCAAGCAAAACAATAGTCATTTTCCACACCAGTGAATAATAGCAGTGAATAATCATTATTCACTGGTCTACAGTTCCTTATAAGTTATATCTCGGACCCTAGGAACTTTAAACCAGTGAATAATGGTTATTCATTGCTATTATTCTTTGGTGTGAGAAGAAGCTACCGTTTTGCTTGAGAAAATATATGTATTATCATCGTGGATGAAGTATAATTATGTTCAATATGAATTCTGATTTTCTACTACATTATATAATCTGAAGGAAGGAAAATCTTCAAGTCATCTCGACGATTTTTAATGACGAAGTGTTACAATTAGGGGTGGAATATGTTTCGAGCCTATCATAAGCCCATCATCAGCCAAATATCTCAAAAATCCTACTACCTTACTTAGAGCTAGTGAAATTGTTGAGAGTGAGATCATTATATGTTACTTACATGGATAGAAGTGTTACATTGCGTATAATGATTGAAATTAGAGATGAAAAATCATTAAAAGGAAAAAATTCAATGCAAAATTTACAGGATGGAAGGAATGCTCGAAGTCATCTCCACAAATTTGTGGAGACTTGGAGCATTCTTTCCTTCCTGTGAAATATTTCACTCCACTTTGAGCAATATGGACTTCTACCAAAGATTGATGCAGAATTGTTCAACAGAGGATCCTGTAGGTACCCCTTGATGGGAGTCAGAAAGACAGATGACGTTTAACAGAAAATCTCTGATATCATTTCACCACTAGCAATTCCAGTCAGACGAATTCAACAGGCCCAGTCAGCACATCCTTCAGTTGTTTACCTTGAGATATATCAAGAAACATTTTACCAAAACTCGTTCGTCTATATGAAACGTCAATAAAGCTTCGGAATTCTATGCCTAGGAAAGTATTCACAAGAACTTATCACCTCCAAATCCTCGAAAAAACTCCAACACCTACCTCCTAGATACACGATGTTCTTCAAAAATCATAGGCATTTACTTTCGTGCCCTCCAAGAGATGAGAAAAACCTGACATGCATACAAAAAACGGCGTCGTTAAAATGGAACTCCCCGGAGTTCATGAATGATTCATTCATTGATTTATATTGGGAAAATAATCGGAAAAAGAGTCTCTACAGTGATTTTCAACAAAGTCTTCGAATTGATACGATCTTTGTTGATGGTTTTTAGTTTGCGCTATAGACCTGGAAAGTTGTAATTTCAAATGATTAAATGCTCTAATTCATGGACACACCTTGCTATATCATATAACACATCAATTCAAAGACTGGCATCAAAGTAGAATCATTAATTAGACCTTGTGCCCTGTTGTCAAGATTACATGGAAATGTGGCGGAAGGACAGAGTTGCAAATGTTTTTCAATTGTATAGTAAGGTAGATTGACGATCTCTCATTCAGGAAACTTCAGAATAATTGTGGCATCATTTTAATGATGTTTGTTACATGAGATATGAATTATTTTACCTTCAATAGATATCTACGTATATTATATCAAACAGTATCATTTCCACATAACCGAAATTGTGTACCTTCATCTATTATAATGGAAGTTATGTTCGTTGCCAGTGTCCAATTTAATGATTCCTCAACATATTTTCTACTCTTCCAGAATATGTGAAGAATAATTCTCATCTCCATCAATTCCCAACTTTTTTTAAAATCCATTCCTTTTCTTTATTTCATTTCTACATTCCATCATAATAATGATTTCACCATTGATTATTGTGAGCCTAGACTACCCTGTACAGGGTATCTCAATATGGGCACTATTGCTTATCAGTAAAGATAGAGCATTGCGGTTTTTGCGACAGTTTGCTACTTTTTTATGAAATTAATAATGGCGTAAGCATAATTGTGATAACTCTTCCGGTCTCAGTTATCTTTGAATTTATCGAAGAAGTTAAAACTTGTTCTCATAGAGTTTTTCTCGTAGAATCCAGTGGCGTAGTTATTTTTTTGCTAGCATATATTCCTCAGGACGAAGCTGGATAAATGATCCATATTCAACTAAATTTGATTTGAGGCAGGAAAATATGTCTGGGAATGGTTGTCTTCTTCCTGGATATCTAATATAAACAAATGAAGAGTCCTCCAGAAATTATCGTGAACATAGCGCTAAAATTGTGTTACCTTTGTTAATATAATTCCGAAGTTTTTTGCGGAATTTCATTAGATTGTACATAACAAACCATCATTTCATACCTACTTTTTATATTTTCGTAAACCGCCATTGTTGTAAAATAAATAAAATATTTTGTATCGGGAATCAGAAAAAC